CCTTTCAGTCCGCAGGCCGACGCTCTATCCACTGAGCCAAACCGGTTTGGGCGAAAAACCTGTGTTTTCTATCAAAATTACTTCTTGTGTGAATTTTGGGACACCCTTTAGTAGTGACTATATCTGATTGCATTTACTCAAACGGCAAATGAGAAACAGGACAGCCTTTTGCTGAACACCTCAATATCATCTGTCTTTTGGAGGATTTATTTTCTTACGACGTGTATGAGATGGTCTACGAGGATACCAACGGTGCTTAACAGTAAAGGACATTTTGCTAAGTTGTTTGATCACGGGCCCTTGCTCAAAGTGTTCATCTTTTCCTTCTAATCTGGTTTTCAGCATTTGATCCTGTGTTTCTTCATAATTATGCACAGGACCTGCCGAGGGATCGCTTTCGGGGTCCATATGAATATCCACAGCAGGATGTAGCACACGATCGTCCCGCCATCAGATGTCAAAGCAAGTTCTACTTCGCCAGTGCAGTCGCCTGGAAGAGAAGAGCGTGCGGATTTATGACAAACACAATATAAAGCTCCATTTTGGATTGGAAACCAATGTTTCAAGATCTGTTTGAGATGGCCCGTTTCACTGCTGGTAGGGCCATGCTGATATAAGGTGCTTCTCAGGTGGTACGGAAAGAGACTTGAAGAGAAAATGCGTTTAAAAGTTGCTTCTAGGCCCTGACCGGTTTGGCAACAGGTGATGGATAGAGCATTGGCCTAAAAAATACATTTTATTGATTTTTGAGAGGAAGGGAGAGGGATAGAGAGTTAGAAATATCAATGAGAGAGAAACACTGGTCAGCTGCCTCCTGCACGCTCCCCACTGGGGATGTGCCTGCAACCAAGGTACATGCCCTTGACCGGAATCAAACCTGGGATCCTTCAGTCCACAGGCCGATGCTCTATCCACTGAGCCAAACCCTTTAGGGCTAAGTATTCCTATTTTCATCCCTTGACAGCTGCTCCCTGGGAGCCTGCCATCTTGCCTCCAGCTGGGTCCAATAGGAAGATGTTTCTGTACACCTGAAACCTACATAATGTTATTAACCGATGTCACCCCAATGAATTAAAAAAAAAAGAATGTTGTTTTCAGTGTTCATCCACGTTGTAGCATGTGTTAGGTAGGACCTCATTCCTTTTTATGGCTGAGTAAGGCTCCATCGTCTGGATATC